TATATATATAATATTTCTTTCCAATCTTGGTCAAACTATGACATAGTGACTTTAAAACATCTTTTTATTTTACAAATAAAAAGTGGCTGACTGGTCTTGACTGCATGAACCATAAGGCTGATATCTAGAGATCGATAGAAAAACATGCTTTGGTTTAGTAAACAAAGGGATTCAGTGTCACCAGTGACAACTGAAGGACACATAAGTTTGCAGAGCTGGGGTTACATTTCAAATTCAACTGTAATGCAACTATGCACTGTTTACAATGTTTTCAGTATGTGTTCTGTATCAAAATACTCAGCTGTGGCTGTTTTGTATGAATATATTAGACTCAGACAATAGTCACTATAAGAAATACAAACAATTTAGTGTTTTTATGTAGCCTAAAAAGCATTGTTTGTTTGACTGTACTTAGAATAAAGTTGCCAAGCATCCTGGTGAAATCCGTGCAGCATCAGCAGCCATAAGAGCCAGGCTGCTGTGGCTACTCAGCCCCGCCGCACCTGCAGTGACGCGCTGCGGCCCGGCCATGAAGGAAAATACCCGCCTGGTGGTGCAACGACTGTTTTAGACTATTTTTCACGGATATTAATGTTTACGGAGCTGTTACTGTAACCAAAACTATTGTTTCCAAAGTGGTTAAATTGGATTTGAGAAATGCACTGTACTGTTACTGAACAATAAAAAGCTGGTGCAGACAAGGCAGTGACCTTGCGCACACCTACCCATGCTTGTCTCAGAGAGCGTCAGTCGGCTGGATTGGAGGCTGTGAGAACGGGGCGGCATCTTGGTTCGGCGATGACTTCTTCTAATAAAATATGAAGAATAACAATCACCACCCAACGAGGGGTAGAAATCTGAACGACAACGGGTCACGATCGTGATCCAACGCCGAGGTTGCGTTCACTTGCTGTGGCATTCTCTGACAGACAGGACCGCTCTCCGTCTGTCCCCGAGCCTGTCTCCTTTACATTCCCGAGGCTGCTGCGGTGTCTCTCGGTGTCCCTCCTCACGATGTGTCGGTGTCGGACAGCAGGTCGGTGCTGCTGCTGGCGGTGTGTGCGCATGTCACACAAACACTAAAAACAACGTACAGCACCCTACAGCCTTCACTTATACTTGTAACGCTGACATTACCGTACGTACGTACGTGCCTGACCGTTACATTGCCCCGATGTCCGTTATTAAATTCGGCTTCCAACATCATCCGCTAATTTTCCCAGAGCATTTATTATTGGAAAATTACACAATCTTAGTTTACACGTCGGGGGGAAAGGTAGAGGGTGAATCAACCTTTTTAAGTTTTAACTCAAAAACGGCGATTTGTGACGGACTAGCTTACAGCTTTTTTAAGAGTTTAGCTTTTAAAACTACGTCAACACTTGGTAGCCGTGATTATCCTTTTTTTCGTTTAGTTTTTTTTTATACGGCTCTCTAGGTTTGTTTAGCCAGAATGTTAGGAGAAAGATTAATAAGTTAACGGTCGACTCCATTTCCGTGTAGCGCCACCACCTGTCAAGAAGACAGTGGTGCGCTGAAGGACTAACTACCGTAGAGGAAAAAAATTACAAAATATTCGGATCACGAAATTATTATTCTCAGGTACGCAGATTAGGGCCACAAAAAAATAAAATAATAAAATAAAATTGGACTTTTATGTCATAATAGTAATTATGGGGGGAAAAAGTCAGAATTTTCAGAAAGATTTGAGAGATTGAAAGTATAAAATTATAGATTAACATTTGTTTTGATATATTTTAACTTTTTCTTCCTATAAACACTGACCTCTGCAAAAAAAAAATCTTTTGTCTCCACAATAACACTTTGTATATATGCAGCTGATCTACATATAAAATTTTTATTTGATTTACTTGTTTTCTGTAGTGTTTCTGGTTCTAATTTTGCTGTATGACAATATCAAATAAAAAATATAAAATAAATGTTAGGATGACCCCATTCCTAGCTGAACCTCTTACAGTTAAAAAGGTTAATATTTTAAGGCCAGTGTCCACAGGATTTGTATTTCAGCAGTTATTCACACACATACTTTTGCAGTGACTTCTTTACCAGAGGTCTCTGTGAAATATTAAACAATATTGAGTGCCAATCACACTGTTTAGTAGTGGAAAATGTGGTTGGTTGTCACTTTTTATTTAATTCTCAAAAGAGTAGATTCTGTTTTAACGTGCAACGCAATGTTTCAGTTCAAAATAAAGAGATACATGGGGGTAGTTTGGGCTTAGCTTATCCTCATCTAAACTAATCGAAAATTTAGGTAGATGTTTAATTTTATTTTATATGCTGTTGTTCATATAAAATAATTTTATTTTGTCCTGAAATATTGAGTAGGACACCTTTCAGTATACAAATGAAACAGCGCCATCTGCAGTCACATATTGGGATCCTTGCAGAATAACGTCTCTGTTTCCAATAAACTTGGAAAAATAATAATAAAGGCAATTTTTTTCGAATCTCTATGGTAATGCTGCTAAAAATATATATTGGATTGTATTTTTTTTATTTAATATTTGACATTTTAAAACAAAAATAAAAGACGTTTGTTTATGTTTTTGTTTTGTGTTTTTTAGTATATCTGATATTAGCTTCAATATAAGCATTCAAACTGGACGTGTTGCTTTGTTAAAGAGCATTTAGGGCCTAATGTTGGGCTTACAAAACAAAAACAAACAAAAAAACATTTAAATGCTGCATGCATTGTGTGAAAGTCGTTAAATTCACCGTAAAAATGCATGCACATGAACACGTGCGCACGTTTTTGCCGCGCAAATCTCAAACAAGGGATTTTTCCATGACGCAATTACTCTTTTCATGGAAAGGGGGTACAGAAAAAAGAACCTCAGAAGTCCCCCTGTCCCACTCTTACAGGGGGGTAACAGAACTTTACGTGCCCCGAGTGCAGATTGAATCGGGACTACACGAACTTTTGAAAGTAAATTTATACTGTTTTCCATAACGTCCATGCACTTAATGCAGGAAATGTGTGCATTCACGCATTTGCAAATCATTGTTTTACGTTTCCCTGTAAATTTTTAATATGAACTACATTAGATTGACTAAAATCAATAGAAAGAAATAGATTAAATTAGTTGCACGGATGCTTTTGCGCGCAAACATGACGCAGCCAGTCAGTGAATGCCGGTATCTTCCCTTGGGATGAGCTGTAAATATTGTATTCAGGTTTTTATTGGACTCCTTGTCCAGATTTCAGACAATGGCTGTTCGGGTGCGTGTCCAGAATGCAGCGCTGTGATTCAGGGCCTCTGCCAAATCCACTCTGGGACCCAAAAAAAGCTCTCTGCATCCCACCCCCGGGCTTTCTCTGTTTAGCGTTCATTCACTACGATGCGCTCCTAGCTAGAGGAGGCTCTCCGTGCCCGGTCCCCCCTCTGCAAGCCCCAAACTTTCTAATGAAACCCCCACACGCTTTTTGACGAATATTATTGCTCTGTAGCGGGACAAGAAGGCTTTCCGACTAATTAATCAGCATTTTTCATATTGAGAAGAAAACTCCAGGTAGGTTATTTCTTTGTTAAAAATTGTGGCTAAGTGTACAGTAGGGAAGGGTGATTTTGAGAGATTTGTTTTTGCAAAATTAAGTAAAAAAAATGGAATTGTGAGTAAATAAATGCGGTTTTTGTTTATAAAGAACATGGATCCCAGTACCACAGAAGGGGGAGCTGAGGAGAAGCTCATTAAAAGTCCTGTAAGTAAAAAACAGAAATCAATGTCTCAGATTGAAATTTGGTTATAATCCAATCAATGAATCAACGTTGATTCATTGATTGTGTCCTGCGGTTTTTTTGTGGGATCTGTGTGTCCTGGCCTGTGGACGCTGTGAGTCAGTGAGTAACATCTGGACGTAAGGTTGACCCTCTAGCTTGGCTGCGTGCAGCTGCTGCTCCAAGCAGGAGGGTCCCGCTCAGCGGAGGTCAGCTCTCCCAACGAGTGCCACAAGGTCACCAGAGAGTTTATAATTTGCAGAAACCGGGGACAGGACCATCAGTGTGATGTCCATTATCATGCAGAGCACTGTCTTGCAGTTTACATTATCGGTCATACTCGGATCAGGAGGCATGCCAGTTTTTTCTTGCTGCAAAAGAAAATAGGTCGACTGCAGCACCGGGCAGTTTGGAACATGTGCGGTGAGGGTTTTTTCTCTTCTTCTCCTTTCCACCAGCCGCCCAAGGTGATACTCAAACATGGCGTAGAGCTGGAGGAAGAGCAGGAGGAGCTGGCCGAGCACCAGCCCCTGGAGCAGGAGGACCTGAACTTCGAAAGGTGGAAGCGCAGGCCGATTCCCAAACGGACGCTCCACCAGAAGATAGCCGACCTCAAGAAGTACCTGTGGAATGCAGAGACCAACGAATTCATGGGTCGCTCCGGCAAGAGCTGGAGTGAGTTGACAAGCTCTAGAAGGTTCTGTGTGCTGTTGCAAAAGTTATTTCTGTTTTTACATGTCTTAGAGATGAGAAACTCCACACAAACTCAGGAACATGCATGGGGTTTGAATGTTTTCACAAGGCGCATTCAAGGATAAGTTGAGGGTGGGAAATGTTCCTCCAGTCCACAGCCTGTGTGTCCTCATGCTTGATGTTTACATAGGTGCATGGATGATTCAGAGAGTCCCGACAAAAACAGACTGCCTGGGGACACAGACTGCCTGGGGACACGTCCCCAGCGGGAAGACACGGTTCTTGGCCTCGCATTGGCCAGGAATCAAATTCCTCTAAATCTTACCATGCTCTCCGCTGTCTTGTTCCCAAAGCCTTGGCGACCTCGCTGCTGAACTGAACACTCACAAGACCCTCGGCTGCAGTAAAACACGTAGACGAGCTTCAGCGTTGAGCTTCGTTAGACATGCACCAATCTGGCTATTTTCCGGTTTACCTCGATTCCCATTACGATATTTTTTTTGTTTTAGAGACATAAAAGTGAATGAAGCCATTACAGGTGCCTTGATTGAGTGAAACTTTATCTTAAAATTAAATAATTTCAAGAATATTTGCATCAGTGCGAATGTTCCTAATCTTTATCTGGTTTATTTTAAGCTAGGAAAAGCGCAATCAAACGGCGACTTACTGCTTGTTGCATTCATGGATGGAAGATAACAGGAGTTCTTAGTTTCCGTGAGATGTTTTCGTATTTGACCTCCCAAATACAAATCAGGAACAATTATGGGAAAATAATCTGATTCCGATAATTGGGACAGAAATTGTTGCAGGTTTTTTGTTAGAGATAGGACTTATGGTATCACTTTACAATAAGACTCTCCTAATAGATGACTAGTAAATAGTTTATAAACACTTTATAAGTCATTAATAACTGTTTATTACGCATTAATTAAGAGTATGAATGAGGCTGTAGGCAAAAAAAATTATGCTCACAAATCCTTATTGTAGTAGTTAAAATGTAGTCTGAAATGTTTAGCGTAACAACTCTAGATTAAAATACATTTGTGAACAGATTTGGCTCACTAGTTAGCAAGAGACCAGTAGATTGTGTCTCTGTTTCAGCCTTAATTAATGTATAATAATCAGTTATTAATGATTTATAAAGTGTTTACAGATTAATTAATAACATGTCTGTGAACTATTTATTATCCATCGATAATGAAGAACCTTATTGTAAAGTTTTAAATCCAGCAGAAAATGATTAGTTTGGAAAATCAACTCTATGAATTAAAGCATACGTCCGTTAATTTGTTCTGATTTTCTTTATTACATGTTGGTAGAAGATAGTGGGAGTTTTCAGTTTTGATGCATTTACTAAGAAAAAATGTTTTGTTTTCTTTTGTATTTGATTTACCGATCGATTGTGTGAGCTGATCAAAGGAAATTGTCCAATTACAATTTAAATTTTAATTATTTTTTTTGAATCAGCAGAAAATTAGGAAATGAAGAATTAGGGTTGCACTGACTGACTGGCTCTGATACTTTCATGTGAAACCAATAATCAGCTTCTGTCCTCGTTATAGGGACACTGCACTCGCTGTGTTGAAAGTTAAAAGAAAGACGTTTTTGCCACTTATATACCAAATCATTTGCCTTTCATCAGATTTTTAAAATAAAAATGTAAAACAAATGCATCAAATTAAATACTGTTGGATAATTTTACTGTATTTTTACCAATTTATAAAATATCAATTTCCGTTTTGTTGCCATTAAGATTACTGGCAAATTGAGACGTTTGATACAGACTGGATGAGTTGTCATTTATGACATAGGGCTGAAACGATTACTTGGTTTAATTGAGATTAATCGATTATTGAAATAATTGTCACCTGACTAAGGAATCAAATAATCGCTAAACTGCAGCATACAGGCTCTAAAAAAGACCATTTGCTGAAAGAACAACACACTAAGTCAAAACTGTACAAAAATACATACATTTTATGCATTTATGAAAAAAACTCTATCTGTAAATCAGATCCACCCAGAACTCCTAAAGTGGCAGTTTTAGCTTCACCTGGTTCAAATTCTGTTAAAAATAATTAACTATTAAGCGTAATTAATCCAAAAAATAATCATCACTTGATGTCAACTCTAGGAGAAATGTTGTCTTTATTGTTGATGTAATCAAGCGTCCACTCAATGAATGCTGTGTTATTCCATTTTACACAATAAAATGTTCATTTTCATATCTAAAAAGGGAAAAGGGAATTCAATTTAGTTTATTTGCATTTTTGTGTATTTCTAATATAGTATAAAAAGTCTAAAATGAAAAATCTGCAGAATATGCCAATTTCTTATCCGATTAATCGTCAAAATAATCGCTCACTAAAATAATCGTTAGTTGCATCCCTAATATGACGAAGCAGGCGCTTGTTGCCACGTGTTGCAGTAGACAAATGCATTTCAAGAAAGTCTCAGTTTCAGGGATAAAATGAACCGCTTCACCTTCAGGCAGGGATAAGAGCTGAATGAAGCTACACAACCAGTGCGTGCACACTTGTGGAGAAGTGGGGCCCATGTGTCCTCTGAAGAAAAGGGCCCTGAGTTGAAGTCTGCTCTGCGTGTCCTGTGAGGCAAGTGTGCATGAGGGGACACAATGCCAGAGTGGGGTGATTGGGGCTCCTTGGAGCTGGCTGGGCCTCTATGGCTGCAAAAAAAAAAACTTCACTACGATGGCAACCGGAGGTTCACTGTGTTCCTGAGTGAAAGAACAGGCTGGGAGATTTCTCACTGAGCTCAAACAGAAAGGCCTTTGTGGCCGCTGGGCCGCTGCTAGTCCGCTGTAAAATTGCACGCACAGCAAAAGCCATTAAGTTTAGGACGCATTTAGTTAGATTAGTTAAAAAGTAGCAGAACAATCACTGTGCAGACACTAAGTCTAACCAAATTTTCTTAGTTTCTAGTGCAAATATCTTACCNCANTTTACATAAGACAAAACTAAATTCAGCAGAATAAATTTGATTATTTTAAGTAAACAATTCCTTAATGTTGATTAAAAATGTCAAGATTATTTAAGTTTTAACAAAAGATTTTGCCATGTTATAAGTGAAACAATTTTAAAGTGCAATTAGTACTTCTTCATCAAAATTAAGGAAATACTGACCTAAGACAAACTCCTTTATCTTGATGTAAAGTTACTTTTAAGTGATTTTTTGTGTAAATATTTCCACTATAAACTGAACTGCAAAAACAGAAAATATAAATGTGTTTTTGGTCCAGTTTCTAGTGCAAATATCTTATTATGTTTGAAATAAGTCAAAACTAAATCACAAGTAACTTTTCAGCAACATACAGGAGCTTATTTAAGTTAATAATTCCTTAAAATTGATGTAAAAATACTACTTCAATTAGCAGATTATTTCATTATTCACATGAAAAAATGCCTTGCTCTAAGTAAAATAATCTGCCAGTGGCAGTAGTAAATTTTCATCAACATTAAGAAATGATTGACTCAAAACAATAGTTTTGTCAAATTTTAAGCGTACTTGAACCAGAAACTAGACTAAAAATAATTTGTAAGATTTTGGTGTTTTTGCAGCAAATGCAAAACCTCAGGATTTATTTATTAGGGAGTTATTATACACTTCAAAAATACAAACTCATACCATTTTTTTTGGTTTAGTTTATAGAGCAAATATGTTATTACACTTGAAATAAGACAAAACTAACTTATAAGAAGCTTTTCAGCTTGATATGGGAGCTTGTTTAAAGCTAATAAGGACTTAATATTGATGAAAAAGTGCCAGTTGGACCAACACATTTTATAAGTTATAATATTTTTTCTCCATTAGAAGATGATTTCATTTTTATCAAGTAGTTTTTCAATATTAAGGAATTACTGACTTGAAACAAGCTCCTGTTTCTTGCTGAAAAGTTACTTCTAAGTTATATTTGTTTTATTTTAAGTGTACTAAGATATTTGTACTAGAAACAACCAAAAAGGCTTGGTAATGCTTTGTGTTTTTGCAGTGTATGGGCTGTAGAGATTATTTGCAGCTCCAGACATGAAGGGGGAACATTTCCCCCCTTCATGTCTTCATAAACAAATTAGAGACAGAACTAATCAAAGACAGGAACTGGACTCCAGACAACACAAACACACACAATAAGGTTCATTATTTCCCTTCGCTCAGATCAGACATAACCTCTTGTGTAATAACATTTTCCCGCCGCTCTGTCTAGGTCTCATTCTCCTGTTCTATGCTGCACTTTACGCATTTCTGGCGGCCATGTTTGGCGGCTGCATGTTTTGCCTCATGTGGTCCATCAGTCCCTATCATCCCACCTTCAATGACAGAGTGATGCCACCAGGTAAGAAAGCCCCCAGACTCTGATGTGCCGTCGCGTTTCATTCTGCTCTGTGCAGTTGACTGTCTCTGGGTCTCCACTGGCAGGTCTGACGATGGCCCCACACCTAGAAGGCCACGACATCGCTTTCAATGCGTCGGACCGCAAATCCTGGAAGAAGTACACCCGGTCCATTGATGAATATCTAAGACGTGAGTCCGTCTGGGCGCGATGACGTTAAACTTTGAGGTTGCTGAGTTTGTTGAAAATGAAAGAAACTTCAGAGTTTTTTCTTAATCCTCATCTTCTTCTACCTTTGTCTCATTTTTTAACATTTGTTTCCTGCAGAGCATGCTGGGAAGGGAAGCCTCTTTGTGGGCAGAGAGTAGCCATTCAGTACAGTTTTTTTTCAAACCAAGCTTTTGTCAGGTTCCTTTTGCCAGAGGCCTGAGCCTGGCAGGGTTTTGCTGTTGCAAAGGTTTATTTATGCCTCACTCCCTCCTCTTTCGCTCCTTCACTCTCTCATTTTTCCCCTCGGTTTTCCTCTTTTTTATTTTTATTTTTCCAAAAATGTTTATTGGTAAGGTGGTACAAGTCCATACTGTCTTTTTTGCTTCTTGATTAGTTGAAGGTCTAATTATGAGAAAATATTGCTTAAACTCAATCAAAAAACAGAAAAATCTGGTTTTCTCTACAAAAATTTGCATTTGTGTTTGTGAAATTTAGCTTTACAGCTGCATTATGTAACTTTGATTTAAAAAAAATGTTTTTTTTCACATATTTGTTCAAATAATCACCATGTTGTGACAGTTTGTTGTGAAATAGATAAGCTGTGAAAACATCAATCACTGCCATCTGAAGGAATGTAGCTCTCCTGACCAAAAACAACCAATCAGAGCCAGGAGGCGGGTCTTAGCGCTTCCAAACATCCTAATGCACTCACTGCTAAATGGGCTAGTAGTGGAAAAACAATTTGCCGTTATAGGAAAATTGTTTATCTGCTGTTATTGGTGGCCATGCTAACTAGCCGGAGCATGCACAACATGTTATGCTAGGTGCAGCGTAGCATAGCGTGGCGCTCTTATTGGTTGTTTATTACTTAGAGAAGCTACATTATATCACAGATTATCTGTCTCATACTCTACTGTCACAACTACATCATTGTTTCAACAAACATGTAAAAAATTATTTTTATTAAAGTTGTTGCAGCTTAATAATTAATAAATTGATATAAAAGTACCGTTAGAACAGGACAAGTTCCCAATACAACTGAAACCTTGCTGATATTTTTGAGTCAAAATTTTGCCAAAATACATAAAAATTAGGATATATCCAGAGCACATTAGTGATAGACTCTGGGCAAAAGTTACTAAAGTTAGAGTGTATTCATATGAAGCTAAATTAGGGCCAGAAAGTTTGCTAAAAAAAAAATTAATTGAAAAAATATTTTAAAACTGAAAAAAAGTTTGAAACTGACAAAATAAAGATTTTAAACTGAAAAAAGTTTTGAAACTGAAAACAACTGAGAATAAATATTTGAAAATGAAAAAAAAAATCAGATTCAAGTCTTTTTTTTCAGCTTAAGATTTTCTTTCAATTTCAAACATTTTTTTCAGTTTCAAAATAAATTTTCAGTTGTTTTTTTTCTTTTTCTTTTGAACAACCTCTACGGCCCAAAATTTGTGGCCCCAATTTTGCTCCATGAGTTTACAGCAATGTTGGTGTTGATTGTTGAACTTCTTTATGTAGATTTTACCAGGGCAGATGCTGTGTATGAGTTTAAAGGACACTTCTTTTACCTCCCTGGGTTTGCCTCTGCTCTCCACTTCCAGCGTACAATGACGCTACTCAGGACAGGAAGAATATTCGGTGCACACACGACTCGTACTTCATGCAGGACGACCTGGAGGAGACCGCGGAGCGAAAAGCGTGTCAGTTCAAGAGGTCCTGGTTGGGGGAGTGTTCAGGGATCCAGGACCCCTACTATGGCTATTCTCACGGAAGGCCATGCATCCTGCTCCGCATGAACCGGGTAAGGAAAGCGGCAGTCACTGGGAATATGAAGGATGAGGAACTAACAGAGCGGGACTGAGGGTGTAATCGCTGAATAGTGACTCCTTGTGGCCAATTGTAGAACAACACGGGGACCGTTTGGGGAAAAAACTTGATCCATTGAGTCTATGTATATTAGTCTATATATATATATATATATATATATATATATATATATATATATATATATATATATATATATATATATATATATATATATATATATCGCAATACAGACAAAAAAACGTCCTCTAGAAAATTCAATCGTTTTACCGAACCGCACAGCATTCTGGGAGATGTAGGCAGTAGAGGAAAGGCTTTAGCTAGATTGGTGGGATCAGGACAATATTTTTAACCATATTCCCCCCTTTCTGACGGTCTTAAGGACTCCTCGATTGTCGGGATGACTCTTAAGATAAACTGAAGCAATATCCCCGCCGTGTGTGCTAAGCTAAGCTAAGAGTGATCTGGTCCGCTGGGAAGCCCGTCGGAACCGCTCCGATCTAAAATCGGGGCTATTCAACTCACTCGCTCTCCGGTTACCTAGCTACTCGCTCACTCTTTGGTTACCTAGCAACAGTGTGTTGACCTCATAACTGCTTAAAAATAAACTGACAGTGGAGTGAAGGGAGAAAATGACAACAGTTGGAGAGACATGAACAGCAGTTTTGCGGTATTTAACATATCTAAAACAAAAACTAATCACTAATTATCAATATCGACTGATATGAAATCCTTATATTCCGGTACATTCAGCCATATTGACCAGCCCCAATATATTTAGCTTGGAAGTTAATATTTAGATTGGAGCAAAATATTTTGTTTGTCAGCTAAATAGTTAGCTTGCTGAATTAGTTTAGAACTGGCACATTTATAAAAACATGAACAACAAGGTGAAAATATGACTTTTTTCCCCCTCCTTTAACAGGCTAAATAACCCAAACTTTCCAGTTAATTTTTTCACTATTTTACTTTGCAAATATAGTTTGCATATGGAAAACTTGTGTGAGTTTTGCTTAGGGTTCATTTTTAAAGTAAAAATTGGAAATCTTTGTTTTTTGTGTGTGTGTGCTAAAATGTACTTTATATTATTTCATAGATTCTTGGTTACCTACCTGGACAGGGTAAACCAATAGATGTCACTTGTGGTGTTAAGGTATGAAAAACATCAGATCATTTAATTATATTGTATTAAATTCAGTGCCTTTCTAATCTATCATACCCCTTGAACATTTTTACATTTTGTCTTTTAATGTATTTTATTGCAGTTTTAATCACAAAGAATAACTGGAGTGGAAGAAACAACAGTTTTTATGGTGTGGCATTACATAAAATTGTTACGTAAAGTTACACTACCTGTCAGAAAAACGAGTAGTGTAACCAAGCGCTGCCGTTTCCACAAATCTGCTCCTTAGAGCTGCTGTGTCCAGCTGAGCTGCTGCCTCACAGTGCAGCCCTCCTGCACCACTCTGCTCCTTCAGACTATCCAGCAGCAATTAGCAAACACCTGGTGGAAATGCATCTCTGCTGAGCTCACTCTAGGAGCTACTTCTCAGACAGGCTTTGAAAGGCTTAATGAATGGAGAAACTTTATTGTGATGACATGCTGAAGTATCAGAAAGAGCAGGAGCTACTTAAAGAGACTCACACCCAATTTCAAGGTGTTAAATTGCAATGTTAAATTTCTTTCAAGTCATGTTTGATAAATACAGCATTTTTGTAACAACTCAAGGTAACATAGTTAGTTATGGTACTTGATTGTGCTATACGTTGCAATGTGATGATGGAGAGCAAAAAAACTGCTAGCCAACGATCACTACCATTGGTTTTAGCTGTTAAGTTATCATGATATGCTAAATCTTAAATGTATGCATGACATTTAAAAGAAAAAGGGACACAGCAGCTTTGCTACTATTTGTCAACACTACAACAAGTAGATAATGTCAGAAAAAAGTTTTAATTTAAATAAATGGGCAGGGTGAGGGAAGTAGGTCAGTTATGCTAGCTTGACTATGACAACCTTAACATGTAAATGTGCTGTGGAATTCTGGTGCTATACATAATATTGCTCCATTAAAATAATAATAAAATTGTGTATTCATTTCCTTCCATATCACTATTATAGCCTACTTTCTGTTGGTCTATCACATAAACTAATTAAAAAGATGACAAAATGTAAAAATATTCCCAGGTTATGAATTTAAATGAGAACAAGTTAAGAAAATTATTTGTTTTCTCTCCTAGAAAGGACCTCAAGAGGCCATAGGAGATATTCAGTTTTTCCCTAAAAACCTTTTTGACCTGAAGTACTACCCTTACTACGGGAAGCTCAGACATGTAAGTGCTGATTGACGAACCAGGAGTTCAGTCGAACCCGATCAATCTGAGTCGTTTTGTGTCCGTTTCGTCGCAGGTGAACTACTCCTCGCCGTTGGTGGCTGTTCGTTTCATAGGAGTGCAGCAGGACGCCCACATCCACGTGCAATGCAAACTGAACGGGAAGGGAATCATTAACGATTCACCCACCGACCGCTACCTGGGCAGCGTGACCTTCACCCTGGAGGTCGGAGCGTGAGGCAAAAGACATTGCGAAGCTCCTGTGATGGAGGCAGGAGAACATGCACAAGAGAAGAAATATTTTAGACCTTTATTTTTTTTTTTCTTGAATTATTTCCTCATCTTTCTCTTAAATATGTCTTCTGCTGTGAAACAAATAAGGAACTAGATTTATACATTTTTATTTTGCATCTGTTGTTTCTTGAACCTTAAGCAGGGTGTCGGCATCCACAACAGACAGTGCTGTGCACCGGACAGCTGCATAGTGGGAATTACAATTCAGCTCCTCGTATTTTATAATGATTAGCAAAATTAATCAAAACTAAATTAAACTCTGCCCAATTAGTTAGCATTTCTGGCTATGCAAATCCAATTCTGACTTAAAGCATTACTAGGAAATTAGAAAATGTCGGCAGGTTAGTTGATGGTTTTTCTTGCACATTTTTTTGTAATGGTGATAAGGTACTAATTTGTTTTGAATTATATTGTTCAATTAAGTTGTAAGAATTCAAAGAACTATCATGTAAGCGCTGAAAAGAAGACTTGTGTTGTACTTATACAGAGAAAATGACATAATAAATGCAAATACATGATTACTATATATTTTTGTTGAATAGAGCAGTATTTTAAATTTATGATGTGTATGCTTCTTTTTTGTTTTTTTTTTGTTTTGCAAAAGTAAAATACTATACCAGACTGATCAATAAAGAAATATATTATGATAAATAATAATTCTACTATGAATCCAGTTTGATTTTAACTTTCCTGGTAAGTGAAATCATGACCTGAAAGTCATTGTTTTACTCAGGTATGGAGCTAAATTGGGGCCATAAGGTTTGCTCAAATGAAAAAAAAACAACTTTAAAACTGAAAAAAAGCTTTGAAACAAAAGTAATGTTTTAAAACTAGAAAAAGAATGATGTGAATTTGAATAAAAATTTTCAAAAATACTTTTCATATTCATGTTTTTTCTTTCACTTTTGGATTTCTTTTTCTTTTGAACAAACTTTATGGCCCCAATTGAGCTCCTTACCCAGGTTATCTTTGGTAGATCTGACATATTTAAGTGTGAAAATCTGTATTGTTCACACCTTTTATATTTTTACAGAACTCTACATGTTGGATGTTTGCTCCATGTCATTATGGATAACAATATTCAAGATATCAACTAAAAGCTTCAGACAAAAACAAGATAACTTATCAGTCAGACTGAAATTGTGGCTGGAATGAGTCAGGCTTCTGTGTACAACACAGATTATTAAAGAACCAAACTGAACAAAGTCCAAAACACGGTTTGAGCTTCCACATGACTTCAGGCTTTAGTTCCCAACCTTTGAGCTCAATTCAGTCACAAGACTCCTTCACTCCCAATAAATACACAGCAGAAGAACAGAGATACAAAACAAGAAATGAACTTTATTACTGAATTTGTTCCCCACTCGTGTTAAAACGAGCCTAACGTGTCACATTCCTCCATCAGAAGCTCATGGTGAGGTGCTCAACAGAAAGGCACGGAAACTGCAGAGGTGTGAGGATGAAAAATGCTCAAAGAACGGAGGAATGGCGGCGCTGGGTCCGTGCTCGTTTTGGTACAAATATGTTCCCATCAGAAACCAGTAATGAAGAACAAAGCAGATCCTTCTTCTAAAATACTGCATATTAAATCAAAATACAGGTTAAATGTGGCTTAAAATTAAAATGAGTTTTTATCTTTGTCAAAAAACATCTTTATAAAACTTTAAATGAGTTTGAAAGAGAATCAAATCACATCATTGGCAGCTGTAAAGATTCGTACCCGGACCATTTATGGGCAAAGACGTAACGGGAGGAAGTCTACTCTTTTTCCCTGCTGCTGCTGTGCGTTCAGAACAGGCATGCTGCAAAAACGCAAAATATCACCAGTGTTTTTACTTAGTTTCTAGTGAAAATATATTAGTACACTGAAATGAGACAAAACTAACTAAATAACTTCTTAGCCAGACATGAAAGTGTTTTTTAGTCAGTAATTTCTTAATATTGATTAGTACTAGAAGTACTAGTACTAGAACAATTGGCAGATTATCTTACTTATTACAAGTTATTTTTTTCATGTTTTAAGTGAATTAATCTGCCAATAGAAGTTGTATTTTTTTACAATTAATTTTACTGAATTATTGACTTAAAATAAGCTCCTATTTCTTGCTGAAAAGTTACTTGTAAGTTAGTTTTGTCTTATTTCAAGTGCACTATGATATTTACACTAGAAACTAGGCCAGAAATACTTGGTAATATTTTGTTTTTTTGCAGTGTGTACGAATACAAAAGCATTTTGCACCAATTCTTTCCACTGTTTAATGACTTCCTGATGGTTTATAGGGTTAAATTTAAGATTCTCAGGTTAGATTGTGTGGTTTTAACAGCACCACTGCAAAAACACCAAAATGTCACCAAGTTGTTGTTTTTTTGGTCTAATTTTTAAAGTAAGTTAGTCCCATCTCATTTCAAGTGTACTAACATATTTGCACTAGAAACTAGACAAAAAGAAAATAATTCTTGGTAAGATTTTGTGTTTTTGCAGTGCATCAGTAACTGTTTTTAAATCCCTCAATCTTACATTTTTGCTCCTTGGCCTTTAAGAAAGTGAGTCACTTTAGTGACATCTATTCCCCTTTTTTATTTTAGTGCCGGTATTATTTTAATGTCTTCTATTGTAATGTTTTTTCTTTTCTTGCTGTGTAACACTTTTGGTGCTAGTTGACTTTATAAATACATTTCACTTTATATAAGAAAATTTATTTGGTCTCCAAAACTGATTTCTGAATACCCAACATGCACAGATGAGTTTGAGGGGAATAATCTCTCTTTAATGTTAAACGGTTCCTGCTGTCAGATGTTAAATCCCAGATTTAAAAGTAAACAACACTGTAATCAAATTAATTTCCAACATACTTTATGTGAGCATTTCAACAAAATTCAAGAGTGACAAAAACTACAAATAAAAGAGAAATAAAACTGGTCCTGAAGGTGGTAAAGTGTCTGTTACATTATTTTCCCTTTCACCCGGTGAGAATATGCGCAACAAGTTTAGCTGTTCATTCGTGTTACATGGAGGCGAAAACAAATCTGTGGAAAACCGACATCTGAGAAATAAGGTTGCTCTTACATTCATCAAAAATCAATGTCTGTCATTCTATACAAGAGATTAATTTACACATATACTATAATATAGCACAGAAAGTGAGAGCAAAAAGCCTCTCTGGTTTAGGAAGGGAAGAGAGTGCACTGCAAAAACTAAATCTTAAATATTCTTGGTACATTTAAAATAAGACCAAAAAAAAAACTTACAAGTAACTTTTCGGAAGACATAGGAGTTGGTTTTAGGTAAATAATTCCTTAATATTGATAAGAAGTACAAGTTCCACTGGCAGATAATTTCTCTTAAAACATCAGAATAAATTTTGTTATAAGTGAAATAATCTGCCAATGGAACTAGTTCTTTTTTAATCAATTTTAAGTAATTATTGACTTAAAAGAAGCTCTTATACCTTGCTGAAAGCTGATTATGTTCGTATTAGTAACTTGTATGTATTATACATTAGTAATACTAACTTACATACCAAGGCATTTATCCATCGTCAAAAGTAAAAAATTCTGCTAGTGGAATTAGAATTTTTTCATCTATATTTAAGTATTATTGACTTAAAACTGGATGAAAATTACTTAGTTTTATCGTAATTCAAGTGAACTAAGATGTTTGCACTAAAAACCCCTGACAAAAATTACTTAAGATTTTGTGTTTTTGCAGTGTGGAAGGCCAATTCACAGCCATATAGCCATCTTTTTCTTTTAACATGCAGTTTATATTAAAACAATTTGTCATCGATCATAAATGTTTTAGTGCTTGATTCAGTCACTTTTGTCAGAACAAAAAAGCTAAACAAAACCAGCTGAAGCTGGATGTGGGAAATAAGCTAAAAGGTTATTGCAAGGAGACACTGCCTCGGAGGAAAACTGAGAAAAATCCAGGAAGCTTTTTGATGCAGGTGTATTTTGTTTTTGTTTTGTTTTTTTAATTTAAGAGCAGAAAGGGTGGGGAAACAGGGAGAAGAAGCAGAAGCAGCAGACCTGGACTCAAACAGACTGGTAACCAGTGCGGCTCTTCCGCCGACCAATCAGGTAAGAGATAAGCACAAGGATGATTAGGAAGCTGAGGGCCACGCCGACGGCGATGGGCACCAAAAAGCTCAAATCAGAGTCCAGGAAGCATTCCTCAGCTAACAGACAGACAGAGAGAGACAGACAGACAGGAAGTTAGCGCCTCAGCAGGAAGTTAGAGGACGATTTGGGTTGGAAATAAACGATTAGAAACAAAGCCAGAAGCAGCAGGACACAAACGACCTATGAAAAGATGGAAGCGATGCAAAGCGGATTAGGGAGAAAAACACAAAAAGGCAGATTATTTCTGCCGAATTCAGTTTGAGAAAATTAACTCACTGAAGTTTGTCAGATTAAACATTATGCCAAAAACTGAGTGTAAAAACTGGAAACAGCTCGATCCGAACACAACATGAATGTTTGCTGCTGCTGCTTTTTTTGGCTGAACTTAATGGTTTCTTGTGAAAGTAGTCTAAAAAATAAAAAAAATTAACTAAAGAAAAGTCATCACAAAATTTATAGATAAAAAAAAACAAAAAACAATTCACTAGCTTAAAAATAAACTTTTGAACCGGAAGTGATCCGCGCTGCTGAACCGCCATCTTGCTGTTAGGCAAGAGCAGCAAAAAGACGAACTATGACTTCAAGACCAACAAAAAGAAAGTACTTAAAAATTGTAATCAATACTTTTAATGTACTTATACCGTTTTAGGTTAAAAAAGAACGAGGTGATAACTCTTTCCAAGCTTGTGGCTTGTTTCGTTGTCATAGCAACCGCCATAATCGTTAGTTACGGATGCCCACCATTCCGATTAATTATTTTTTTTTAAGGGTAATAGTTTTGTTTAGAGAGATTTAATAATCCATGTTGTTTATAGTTTCGGTTGTGTGCAACAGCAGCGGCCATTTTGCAACCAGCTCTAAATAATATTTAAGTGCAATTTCTGGGAATCACCTCCAATTTTTGTTTGGTAGTTTTGAGTAAATCAAGCGTGTTTCCAGTCTTTATACAAAGCTAAAAGACAACCAGAAGACCCATAAGTTAACAGAACAAAACACAGATTACGCTTTTCTCGTCACCAATTAGTGAAAAAGCAGCGATTTAATTAAGGCGGCGGCCACCCCCTGCAGCTCTAAACGAGGAGTAAGATCAGAAAGACTGGTAGCCCGACGCCATGTTTCTCTTCCTCCCGATGAAATAAGCCAGCAGAACAATAAGTATGAGAACAAGCAGGGCAACGCCGACAGCTATGGGAACAAGGTAGCTCTCCTCAGTCGGGCATTCCTCAGCTAGACGGGAATGAAGAGAGCACACACGTGAATGTCTCACCCACTTAAAGAAGAAAACACCTGAAAGGAAGCAGTTAGTCAAATAGAAAGCATAAACAACAGGGAATCCCTTCTGTACATTTTCAAACATTTTTATTTCCATTGAAAATACTAAAAACGCTTCATTGACACAAATCAAACGTGATGCAGCTAATAGCAAAATAACGTCAACAGAGACGGTCCTGCAGCAGATTCCCTTTTATTTCAATTATGACAGAATCTGAGAATAACAGTTTATTTTATCGAGTTGGAATTAAACAAGTCCAGTTAAAAGCTTTATTGGTGCTGCAGGAACATCTTTATATTTAAGGCAGTTTTTACACAAGACACAAATCACAAGCAAAAGACAGGCAAAAAAAAAATAATCCAAGCTCATTTTTGATTAAAAAGCAGTTATTCGTACACATGTACAATAAACCTGTGAAAGCAAATTTCATCAGTGCAAACAATGCACAGCACACTGCAAAAACACAAAACCGTAACAAGTATTTTTTCTCCGTAGCTTCTAGTGCAAAAATCTGAGTACACTGGAAAAAAAAAATAGCTAAAGAGCAAAATATAGGAGGTTGGTTTGAGTCAATAATTCATTAAACATTTTCAAAAAGGTGCCGACAGATTATTTCACTTAAAACAAGTGAAATATCTTTTTTTCCATCAATATTAAGGAATTGTTGACTTAATATAATCTCCTTTGTTGCCAAAGTTACTTGTAAGTTTCGTCTCATTTCAAACGTGCTGTAATGTTTGTACTATAAGCTATAGACAAAAACACTTGGTAAGAGTTTTGATTTTTTGCAGTGTAGAAACTGATGGACAGGTACAGTCGTCGCTATGGAAACACTTCCTGCCTGAAGCTGCTCCTAACCTCAATTAATCCTGACAATCAATGACTTCCTGCACGGAGAGAACTTTGTGTTTTTAAATGGAAAATTCTAGAGATTATATGAACAAACGTGGCAGCAGATTAAATATGCTGGAAATCTAATGAAACCTACATCAGACTCAGCAGAAGTTAATATGATACAAGTTAAACAAAACTAGAGCTGCACCAACTGGAGATTGTAACTGGATAATTTTTGTACTCTGATCTGTGATTAACCTAGTTAGAGTTGAAGGATGTTTATTGATAATTTTTTTATAAAACTCAAAAGAATGTAATTGAAATCAGATGCAATCTTATTCCATAATTGCATGTTTAATTTAAAATACTTTAAATAACCTGCTGCACTTTTTTCCTCTGTTATAATATGAAAATTCCTAAATTAGCAGGTAGAATATTAAAGAAAATTGGTTTATATCATTCAGGAAAATTAACAATCAGGGCATCTGAGGATGGGAAATAGAATACATTATATTTTATTAATATGCATAATATTATATAGTCAGTAAAAATAGGAATTAGTTTATCAGACATCAAAGAAAGGTTCTAAACTGCAAAAACACAAAATATTACTAAGTGTTTTTGTCTAGTTTCCACTGCATTTAAAATGAGACAAAACTACCTTACAAGTAACTTTCAGAAAAAAATAAGATCTTGTTCTAAATCCATAATTCCTCAATATTGATTTAAAAGTCCTACTTCCACTGGCAGATAATTTAATTTATACGATTTTTTTACATGTTACAAGTGAAATAATCTGTCAGTGGAACTAGGACTGTTACAAATTAATATTTAGGAATTATTCACTCAAACCAAGCACATAAATGTTGCCAAGCTGGTTTTCATAGTTCAGGCGTTTTAAGATATTTACACCGGAAACTACAAAAATACTTGGTAATTTTGAGTTTTTGCAGTGTAACTGGTGCATCGCTAATATAAACTGAAACCATTTTTTGAAAAATAAACTCCAGCTCATTATTTCCAGTTTTTAATCTTTGCAGCAGTGAAACAGCTCCTGGCCTTTCAACTCTCATCAAAAAACAAAAACACAAGCGATATCATTTCCTGTTATTTTCTCTAAAGCGTCATCTAGATTTTTTATTCTTTGTCACAAATATTCAAAGACAATGTGAAAGGTTTTCAGGACCGTAAGCGTCCTCTCATCCAGCTGATTGTAACACAGGTGAGAAAATTAGACAAGCAACATAAAAACCCTCTTAGTGCATTTCTGTGCAAACATCCTGATTCCAGAATGATTCGCAGCGAAAGTGAAACATTTGATTTCCCTTTTCTGACTCTAATGCCACCATGTGTTTGTTGATTAAATAAAAAATAAAAAGTGATTATTTCGTTCTAGTTTGCTCTTATTGGAGTGTGTGCAAAAATAAAAATAAAAAGACTCTCACAGGTTTAACAATGGCTTCCTTTCTTTACACTTTAAATCTGAATCAGATGCGTAAATTATCTGATGAATATCTGAAGTCAAGTTATAATCTGGCTTTACAGTCATAGGCGGAGTATTGGAGACATTTCAGATAAAAGAATGAAAAAAAACTGGCCATGGAGGAGTAGACTTAAGCCAAAAAGAATGAAATTTAGAGATTTCACGTATTAACAAAATAAAGGGGATATTCTCTGTTTTTATGATTTAAGGCATAAAGTTACAAAATGAGTCAAATTTGTTCAGAAAAAAAACAAAAACTGACAAAAAGCGACCAAAGTCGAAGGTTTAGGAGAATCGTATCTGAATATTTTCCAAAAAGTTTAAGAGTCTGCACTGCAAAAACAGAATATGACCAAGTATTTTTAGTTTAGTTTCTGATGCAAATATAACTTATCAGTAACTTTCTTGGTGAGACATGGCAGCCAAAAGTTACTTCTAAGTTAGTTTTGTCTTATTTAAAGTGAACGGAGATATTTGCACTAGAATGTCGACTAGAAATACTTTTGGTGTTTTTGCAGTTTAGATCCAACATTCAGATACATTTCTTATGAATTTACCACATAATCCTAAGACTCTGGTCACTTTTTGTTGCAAATATCTGACTTTATAAGTCAAATAAATAAGTTTTCTTCAGAAAAATGTTTTTTAAACAAATTTGACTGAAATTCTTTTTTGCAAATTTATGTTGGACATTTGAGAATATCCAAGTTCTCTTGTAAATATGTGAAATTATTCTACAAAAGAGTTTTTTTGACAATTCAGTCCTCTGTGGTCAGTTATTACTTCCTTTTTAATCTATAATGACCCCGATATTTCCTTATGCTCTGATAACATGAACAGAGCCTCAAAGTCTGAAATAAATCCAAAGACTTCTCCTGCTCTACAGGGATCAACACGGGTCCGAAACCCACCTCACTCACCCGTGTTAGTGAAATTCTGGAAATGGACACAGAAAGCAGCTTGAATATTTCGATTTGATAATTATTGGGGTGAAAAGAAAAACCATAAAGAACAAAACAAAACGAGGGAGGGAATGTGTGCTGAGCAAAGTGCAGGATCATAAAAGCTGAAGATCTCGTGTGAAAAACTAGACGAACTGACCAGAGGTCATAAATCTTCAGGCGTTTCTGCACACAGAAAACGAGCTTTGCTGTTCACCTGAACTTTAGCATTAACAAGAAGCAAAATGGGAAGGACAAAAACAAACCGAACCAGGGGAGAAACAAGTTTGGTCCTTGAGGAAAACATCAAATTCATCTTTGGGCCGATTCAATTTAATCAAGTTTTTTCTCTTCTACTTAATTTTATCACCAGCTGATACTAAAATGATTTTTCAATCTTAAATAGATTTGCCAGATCAAACCCAAGGACCAGGCTTGGGAATCCCGTGACATGTGAGGAGCGAACGCACGCTGGATTTAAAGGGTCTGATATCCAGCATGGGTCTTTCTTCGACCAATCACGTAAGCGATCACTACAATGAGAATCAAGCCAGCCAGAGCAGCACCAACAATGATTGGGATTAAGATGCTGGGGTCATCCAATGAACATTCATGGGCTGCAGATAAAAAGGAGAGTCAGTCAGCAGGTGGAAAAGTTCAGTTTCTCATTTTCCTCAATTCAAAACAGGCAAGAACAAAGCAGAAACAAATTATTCACCATCATGGGACAAAACCGAGCAGCAAAACTCTTCACACCGCTTTTACATGTCCAACAAGAAATTACTTCACTGCATTTTAAGTCACAATTTACACCGATTCCCCTAAAAACAATTTTTACACCGCAATCTGAATTCTGATCTTTTCACATCTGGTAAAATCTGATTTGTGTCACTTCCATTCGTGTCGTATTCAAAGTCTGCAGTCTGAACGGCCATGTCGCATTTTTGAGGTGAAACGTGTCAAAATTCTGCAGCAGAAGAAGCCGAAGGGCGTAAATCCAGACTTAAAAAATGAATGAAACAAGCAGTGCAACGCTTTCAAAGGAGCTTTAAATGGAAAACGATGACCTTGTGACGATACGCCTGCGCTTATCGCTGAATAACTTTAAAATCGATCAATCGACGGCGACGGCCATTATCATCTCTGTAAACAGAGCGCTGCCGAGCAACATTTTAACTGCAAATGACTTAAGACTGATGTGGAAGTTCTCCCTAAACATACAATCTTTCTGACTTTTCAGGAGTTAGAGTGGCCTAGTCAAAGTTCAGAACCAAATCTAATTCAGTGTTTGTGGAAAGACTGCAGACCAAAGCTGAAAGAGACACTGTGCCAAAGTGAAAGTCGTTTCTCCAGATCAGCAAGAAATCGGTGGCGGGACTATAAATGTAATTAATCAATTAATAAATTAAAATGAGATCAATAGTTTCCATTTTTTTGATTTATCGTTTCTTTTTACCAAAAACTGGATGATAAAAGTCTCAGTCTGTCATTTTGTCTCAACCATCTTTTTTTGAAGGATAATTTTGCTTACAGAAACTTCATAATTTATTTAATTTGTTGTTTCTGTCGTTTATTTATTTTGGTTATTTAAAATGTCTCCCAGTTCCAGAGTTAAATTTTCATTAGAAGTTAAAATTTATTGACCTCTGAGAAAGTTTTCTTCTTACTTTATTGCTAGAAAATGGTCTCAAAACATCGTTGGAAAAATTTATCGTCCAGTAAAAATCGTTAAAAGCATGCCACACTTTTCAGATCAACTGAATGCTAATTTCTGTTGGTATAAGACATAAAATCCCAATAAAATACATTAAAATTTCAGTTTTTAACAAAAAAAAGGTGAAAAACAAGTCATGACATAATGAAAATACTGAATTTTTTGTGTTTTAAATGAAATTCTTTGCAATAAATGTGCAAAGAATGAACTGCAGCTTCCACGTAGTAACAGAGAGCATTAATATGAACTCAGTCCATTAGATGAGAGATAACTGACCTGTGCTGTAGAGGCCGTTCTTCACGCCGAACGGCTGCACATGCAGGCTGAAGGTGTAGAAGGAGAGCAGGCTGGTGATTGTGAAGTTCTGCTCCTTGTTGCACATGTAGGAGCTTCCCACCGCCGCCTCCCACAGACTCAGGTTGGCGCTGCTCTGAGCAAAAACCCCTGCAGGGCGACACACAGGAAGCTCAGCACCAAACCTGCAGGTTGTTTCTGAGTGGATACGGGTAATAAATACCGGAGCTGGAGTTGATGGTGACGTTCACTGCATGGAGGCGGAATTTCTTTGTGTCCTGTTAAGATTGAAAATAATTTATTTAGATCAGGGGTGGCCAAGTCCAGTCCTCGAGAGCCACCATCCTGCAAGTTTTAGAAGTATCCTTACTCCAACAGATCGGGATCAGCTCTACAAAGGCCTGATAATGAGCCATTCATTTGATTCAGGTGTGTTGAAGCAGGGATGCATCTGAAACTTGCAGGATGGTGGCTCTCGAGGACTGGACTTGGCCACCCCTGATTTAGATAAAGTGTCTGATGCCGAGTGTGCAGATGTATCGGATTAGTAAAACTTCCCCTCTGTTTTATGGTCGAGAAGTTAAAATGATCATATAAGCTCCAAATTTCTTACTTCCTGTTTCGTTCTGTGAGGTTCACATTTTTATAGCAGAACATAAAACCTGATAACTTTTAATATGTTTGCTGATGAGTAAAGAGATCACACAGCATTTCCTCTCATAATGTGCAGTAAAAACATCTAAAGAGCAGCAGAACTGAGTCTGAATGTGAAAAGTTTCACGAAAAGGGAGAAAACAAGGATCTGGCCTGCAAAAGCACAAAATATTCCCAAGTAGATTTTATAGTGCAAATATCTCAGTAAACTTTAAATGAGACAAAACTAACTTACAAGTAACGTTTCAGCAATAAATAGAAGCTTGTTTTAAGAAAATCATTCCTTATTTCATTGGCAGATTATTTTACATTTTTCCATGTTATAAGTGAAATAATCTATAAGTGACACAAGTACTTTTTCCATCAATATTAGGGAATTATTTACTCAAAACCAACTCATATTTATTGCTGAAGTTACTTATAAGTTGGTAAATTTGAAATCAGACAAAACTAAGATATTTACACTTGACCAAAAACACCTGATATTTTGTTTTTGCAGAGCAGATTCTTGTTTTCTCCCTTATTTCTGAAAATGTTTCGCAAGATAAACTGTGTGAACTAAGATATTTGACTTAAAAAAGACTTAAGATGCGTTTTTGCAGTGTATGCAATAACATATTTGAACATTTGATTTTCACCTTTTATTTGAGAAATTAAATTAAAGATACTGCTGGAAATGTGTGTATAAGACAGAAATAAGCTTCAACAAACCAAACAATATAAAACTTACATTGTAGAATGAGAGGGAAACGGTGATGTTGTTGGACACCAGGATGAGCTCGCTGTTGTCGACTCCACAGCTTCCAGAAACTTCAGTCGGAGGGTCAAAGTTCACCTCCTGATACTTCTGAACACAGAATAAAAACCGCTGTAAAGAAACTATTCCCAAACTACTGCTAGACATTTACAGTGTTTGAAATGATTTTATTTTGTAATTTTGTCAAAAATGTCGTTGGTTATGATTGATTTATAAACGTTATAAAAATAAATAATCTGAAGGACGAATACCTTTTAAAGGCACCGTATGCGTTAATTATTAATTATTTTAGTAATCGATTATCCTCATTATCACATAAAAAATAAATATTCTGCAGATTTTTAATTTAAGAACTTTAGCCGTTTATCTTTACAATATTACAAAAGCATTAAAAGATGCCAAGAAACTATTCGATTCATTTTTAAAATAAAAGCTGCTCTGAATATGTTTAATCGGCAAATGCCCCGTTTGAGCCAATATACTCCAGTTAATGATTACAAAATTAGTTGTCAACTCTTTAAATAAATTGATTCATCTCAATTAATTATTTAATCTCTGGCACATTCTGATATTTTTCATTTTACTACTTAAGCTTATTTTAAATATTGAAAATACATTAGAAAATGCAAAACAAACATTTAATGAAAATAAAAATTTTATTGCTTAAAATACAATAGCAGCGTTGCTTTGGTGTTCTGATGCATCTGCAGCAAAAAAATAAATATTTCTAACATGTGAAAAGTTCAGCTAATTTAACATCAATACAGTGAAGGGTTGATTATTTTTAGATTAATTGATCAATAACTGAATATCCAAAAGGTGTTTAATTGGAGATTTTTACAGAATCTGAACTGGATGAAACCAAAACTGCCAAATGAAAAGATCAAGGTAGAAAATATTTACTGCTAAAAATGTTTTTGTATCTTAAATGCAAAATGTTTATATTTCTGTACAGTTTTGGCTTAATTATTGCTCTGAATGTGTTATTTAACTACATTTACTTGAGTAAATATTTTTTAAAGTACTTTTAGGAGCATTTTAGTACCGTTTACTTTTACGTCAGTAATTTTATGATTAAGTATTTCTACTCTTAGTTGAGTAAAATGTCTGTTCTCATGTTTTAGCCAAAATAAATAAAAATGGCACACACAGGCTTTCAGAGTTTGTTAAAGTTTTATATTGAAACAAATTAATTTATTAAAAAGTGTCTTTTGCTCTTTTTTTGTTGTGATATTATGAATTATTTTTATTTTAATCTGTAAAACATCAAAATCTCCACTTAACTTTACATTTTGGTGCATCTCATGATGTCATTAATATTAATTGATTGATAATTTAATTATTAACCCAGTACTTGAGTAGACTTTTTACCAGATACTTTCTCTGATAAATACTTTTTACTTTCTTGAGTAAATTTATGCTCCTCTTGCTCTGAACGCACCTTGTTCTGAGTGAAGCCGATCCTCAGGCCGAAGTTGGCCAGCAGGCAGGCCGTGCTGTTGGCGTCGTGCCTGATGGAGTAATTCCCCACGGTGGGAGTGGGCAGAGTGGGAGTGGGGGTGGTGGGGGGTGCCACAGTGGTGGCGTTAGTGACCGGCGCCACAGTGGTGGCGTTAGTGACCGGCGCCACAGTGGTGGCGTTAGTGACATGAGTGGGAGTGGGAGTGACGGGTGTGTCCGCAGGGCAGGTTGTTACTGGAAAACAGAGATCGGATCAGAACTTGATATGTGAAGGTCTGAGCCTGGAGGAGGGCGAGAGGCGGCGGTTCTTACGGTTCTTGCTCCTGTTGCCGCCGACGATGAAGGCCTGAATGAGCACGTCCGACAGAGTCATGTTGGCCTGGAGCGAAGCGACGAGCGTGTCTTTACTTTTGCACGAGTAGGACGTGTTCACGCCGACGTCTGTAATGTCAGGCTTTGTTGTCACGGTGACAGTTTCTACAAGCAAGGGAAGAAGTTCAGCAGCTCATCTGAGTTTATTTTGTTTAAGAAAGACTAAATAAATGGGGCAACACTTGTGTTAAATTGAAGAAGTACAGAAGATTAGGGCACTGAAAAAAAGAATTCTGGTTTTTGATCTCAGAGGATTAAAATCAGAATTCTGCATTAAAAAAATCCAAAGTTTGAGAAAAAAAAAGTCAAAACTTTGAGATGAAAGTCAAAATTAGTCAGAATTCTAAGCTGAATAAGTCCAAATTTAGAGGAAAACGTACAAATTTTGAGAGAAAAAAAAAAAAAGTCTGAGGAAAAAACGTCTGAATTCAGAGAAAGTCCAAATTTTGAGATGAAAGTCAAAATTCTGATATGAGACTCAGAACTCTGCAATTAAAAATAAATCCAAATTTAGAGGAAAACGTACAGATTTTGAGAAAGAAAGTTCAAATTTTGAGACCAAAAAAAAAAAAAAAAAAACAGTTTAGGGAAAAAAAAATCAAAATTAAAAGGAAAAACAAAAATTTAAACAAAA